GTATTCCTTGTAACGCAAATAATAACTCCTAACAGCAAGAAGCTGTTTTACTGTAGTCCCTGCCTTATCCAGGGGCTTCCACTGAAATAGTGGATTATATTAGGAGAATAATGACAGCGGTGCTAAGAACATTTACTAATATGTAAACTTCATGGGGCTTACTTCTGAGTAAGAAAAGACAGAGAATGGTTTTGTAATACAAAGCAGCTCATTTTTCTTTTGGCAAAAATGTGGCTTTTCCGTCTTCTTCTTCACGCTTGAACATAAAGCAGCCCTGCATTTTTTCAGTACAGTAATTTACAGATATTACACATTAACAATGAAGTTTGTGAACTTTTTTTTTATCACTGACATTTCTTATCCGCCATCCTAAAAGCAGAGCGGGAAGCAGGATCTGGAAAGCTTCCCACCCCCTGGTCCATTTTGACTGTTGGGTGATAGAGGTTATAAAACTATTCATGTTATAGAGAAAATGGACATGCAGTGGAACCTCAGTTCTCGAATGTCTCTCTTGATGAACGATTCAGAACCCGAACACCCCAAACCCAGAAGTAATTGCTTCTGTTTTTGAACATGCCTCGGAAGTCGAACAGCTTCTGAGGTGCGTTTCTTCATTTTTTTTCAATGGATTTTGCCAAGTGCCCATTGATCTTCAGTTTTCAAATGTTAAGGAAGTCGAACAGTCTTCCGAAACGGATTACGTTCGAAAACCAAGGTTCCACTGTTGTTGCTGTAGAATCTGATACCACAATACATCATAATTGACACCAGCTTGGATAGTGTTAAATTAGACAAATTAAGACAAATTCATGGAATATTAGACTATCAATGACTGCTAGTCATGATCACTATATTGCCCCCAATAACAGAGGCTGTATGCCTCTGAATACCATTTGCTAGCGATCATGGGGAGAAATTGCTGTTGCTTTCATGCCATTCGTATGGGCTTCCTACAAGAACTGAATGCTGGACTAGATCAGCCTTTGGTCTGATCCAGGATGGCTCTTACAAAAATCCCCAGAAGACATTAGAGCAGGCTTCCTCAACCTCGGCCCTCCAGATGTTTTGAGACTACAGTTCCCATCATCCCTGACCACTGGTCCTGCTAGCTAAGGATCATAGGAGTTGTAGGCCAAAAACATCTGGAGGGCCGAGTTTGAGGAAGCCTGCATTAGAGGTTGTTTGGAGGTTTACAATTGCAGTAGATCCTCCAGTAAGTAGACTGGGGCTTTGATGTCAACACCAACACCTTGAAACCAATGAAGTTCTTTCAAAATAGGGGGCATGTGCTCTCTGCAGATAATAGTAAGTCTTCAGGTTGCAGACATTCAAAATTTGCCTTTAGGTATTACATAGCATGCAAGAAAAACCTTTTTGTTCACTTTATCTCCAATATATTGCCTGCTATATTTCTGCACCAAGGGGATCTTAAAGGCATAGGAAGAGTAGAATTGGAAATCCTAAACTGGTGTTTAACAATATATAGATAGAAATATATAGCAGAAATATAGATCAGTAGATGTAGAAGTTCTGGGAGTCCTACATAGGCTTTTTGTTTGGTATAGCGTAGCAGCCAAAGTTTCATTTGGCATTAGAGAAATGAAGCTTCTACTGAGAATGCCTAGTTGCCTAGTGAAGGACCCTAATCGTCCCTTATTTCACTTCCTTTGAACCATATGAGCCGTTAATATTCAAAATTATTGTGTTATGTTGTAAAATGTGCCATTAAAAAATTCTTCAAGGCTGTGGATTCTGTCCTGTTAATGTCAGATAGATTGTTAAAAGAAGCAAATATCTATATTCATAAAGGAAATGGGAAATGGGGAGAGCCAGCATCATCCATGCTAATGCTTATAATAAAAAGTGTACTTGACTCTGTTAAAATGGCCAGAGCACTCTGCTTTTCCACTGAGACAAGTTTCCAGTAAATATTAAAAGAATCCACATGTCTGCATGTGCCACTCCATCTCTTTTTCATTACTATTATTTTTGACAATTGCTATTTATAAACAGAGGTCCTATAATAGTTACCAGAAAATTAAAGGAAAACATCTGACACACAAGTCTAACCTCTTCCATTTCTGGTCAAGTGCTATATATTTCAAAGCTCCTTCATCTTAATAATTATCAAACTAGGTTAAAGTGATTATTACCTACATATTTCCAAAGCTTTATCCAGTCATTGGCCATGTGAGAGAAACAGTTTACGGCAGCTGTTGTGTATGCTCTGGGGCGATGTGCTTCGAAGTTGTTGCTTTGGAAAGGGGGGCACTTGACTTTCCACAGTTGTGTTGCTTCAGTGGTTCATAGGTATACTTTTTCCAGACATGTTTATAGCAATGAAGTACAGTTGGGTTAGAATGGATTGCTTGATCCTGACCTGTTTTTCTGCTATCCTGACACTACAGGTGCAACCTAAGATGGACTTACTTGGAAGCACATCCCACCCCCTCTTAAAGTCAATACAGCTTAATTCTGGGTAGACATTGGTAGAAATTTATTATAACCCATTTTAAAAAATAACTTCACTTTGCTACGTGTGTGTGTGTGTGTGTGTGTGTGTGTGTGTGTTTGTGTGTTCTTACTATCAGTGCAGTACCCAGATATTACACATGGGTTACTGTGTATAAAAACTGCCATGCACTGAAAAAAATATTTCCCACTTTTCAAAATTGCCCCAAATTTCTAATTTCAGCTGCTCATATTTTTGACTCTGCATAACAACTATCACTAGTTCATCCAGTTCTAAAGTCTGGGTTCCTTTATTGATAAATTAACACTTCTGTTTACAACACCCCAAAAATGTGTCCGCCCAGTGTTTCACCCCACCCTCTTCCTGAAAATGTTGTCTTATTCACAGATGTCTAAGATTAATGGTGGGATAGGAAGCGCCCTTAGATTTGTACTGAAATGAGGCTCAATTGAGCTAGGTAATTTGGTATACTGAAGGAATAAATAGATTGGATAGGGGTATCATTCTCCCAAAGGGACGTGGGTGGCGCTGTGGGTTAAACCACAGATCCTAGGATTTGCCGATCAGAAGGTCGGGGGTTCGAATCCCTGCCACGGGGTGAGCTCCCGTTGCTTGGTCCCTGCTCCTGCCAACCTAGCAGTTCGAAAGCACGTCAAAGTGCAAGTAGATAAATAGGTACTGCTCCGGTGGGAAAGTAAATGGTGTTTCCGTGCGCTGCTCTGATTTCGCCAGAAGCGGCTTAGTCATGCTGGCCCCATGACCCGGAAGCTGTACGCCGGCTCCCTCGGCTACTCAAGCGAGATGAGCGATGCAACCCCAGAGTTGGTCACGACTGGACCTAATGGTCAGGGGTCCCTTTACCTTTACCTATCATTCTCCCAGTGCAAAGCTGCCTCTTCTTCCCACCAAACATATGGATGGGCAGAAGTGTTGCTGGTGGGATCTCTAACAAACAAAATGCATTCTATTAGGGGAAATGGCTTTTAAAAATGTGTAAACTAGGAGAAGTGCACACTAAAATGCTGGTTAGCTTTCGTGTGAACTCCATGTGTGTATGCATACATATATCAAACTAATGTCAAAATGTGGCAAACTGAACTTTAGAATGGAAAATTGAGGCACTGAGTCCAACCAAAATTGACATATTTGCCAGTACCTAGCTGTGTCCTCCCGGATTATTTACAGCTGCCTCTATAGGCATCGTTCTGCTTGCAGAGGCATCGTTGATATTAAATCAGTAGTAGCTGATCTGCTGACTATGATCAAAAGAAAGTCCGAAAGATACAGCAGTCTAATGGCCATGAGAGATAACTGTGGACCATCTGCTCTAGATGTGAAAAACAAAGGAAGGAAATATAGCTGTTGTCACCTGTGCATAAATTTAGTCACAACGGCTTATGATTTATCATCAGCACGAACCACTAGCTGCGCCTCTTGACTTCTCAATTTCTGTTTCCAATTATTAAGGTTCTGAAGATTGGTAACTGCCGTCTAATGTTGCACTGGCAGTACTTCAGTTCAGCTAGAGTTTTATCAGGTTTTCCGTTATTAAGAGCTATTTTCAGAAGCCTACACCATCGCTAAAGTGGAAATAAGAGCCTTGTGGGGAACGAGAGTTGGACTCCAGGTTCTTAAACACAGAACATCACAAATGAGCATGGGTTGTGGGTCTTGGATATATGAAGAATATATTTTTGAACCCCCGTGATTCAGGTTCCAGAAAATGGGACACTTTTTCTAAGGTAAAAGAAGTACTTTAAGGTAAAACTGACTACCATTAGAAACAGAACTTTGTTGGCAGAGGTCCCTTGGTTCTGGAACTCCTTCCCATTGGAGCCTCTCTATTGACCCATTTAAGAGGGAGTTGAAAAAGCTTCCTGTTTTGAGCAGGCTGCTGGGATCAATACTGTTTAAAGTAGTAGGTCTATGTCAAATGTTCTGCCCCCCACCCAAAAAAAAGGCAGAGCAAGCCAATTTTATACGTGCCGTAGGTACAGGGCAGAAGGTGGGAGGGTGGCTTTTTGTATTTTTTCCTCACTGTTCATTGCCTCATTATTTTCTAATACTTATTTGTATTTTGTTACAATGGGAGGGGTGGCACCACTCCCCACACAACATAAAGGGGGGATGTCAAGTAAAGGAGAAGGCTTAAGATGCAGTGAATCTGAAGCCTGTCCCCATGTGCCTGCAGAATGCTCCTTGGTGTGGATCTGGGAGAGTAAGCCCTGATATATCCTATGGCCCCTAGGACACTCTCTCAGTGTCCAAGGGTCTTAATTTTCAAAATATCGACCTGTTCAGAGCCCTGTTCACTGCTACTATTTCCCCAACTGCTGCTATTTCTGCACATTAAAAAAAAATAAAAATTACCACTTCTTCCTGGATTAGTTGCATTGGTATTCCCAGGCCATCAGTAATCACATAATGGTGAGGATGGTGTCACAATTCTGCACATACCCAATCAGATTTGGTGTGTGATGACATCACTGTATGTAAATGAAGTCGTCATGGAGTTAGGACAATGCTACCCAGTGAACACTACTGAATCAGTCACACACAACCTTCCTGTCCTGTCCCAGCCCAAAAGACATTGAAAAGGTGCACTTTTCATTGCTACCAAAAATGTTCACCCCCACCCCAGTAAGTACTTTAACCTAAGCCGTATTTTAAAATATTGCTTTCTGCTTTATTTATGTGGGAAAATTGGAAATGGAGGGGATGTTATGAATACCACTTGGGGTCAAAGGAGGAGTGCATAGAGGCAGTCATCTCAGGTGACACCAGCAGCAGTTTCCAGCCAGATCTCATAAGAGCTCCACAAAATCTCACTGGAACCCCCCATTGCCACTTTGCAAGCACTGCCAAACAACCCAACTAAGGGAGGCTTCATCAGGGTTGGGGAGGCAGCAAGCTGAGAGGACACCTTCCCATTTTGCCTCAGGTAGTGAAAGGGGAAATGCCAACCCTGGTTTAGAGTCAAGAACTCTGAGTTACACGATGCATTCATCACACATGCGGTGCAGTGATATACTTTGTATTGATCTTATTGACTTATTGAGAGCCAGTGTGGTGTAGTGGTTAAGAGCAATAGACTTGTAGTCTGGTGAACCGGATTCGCGTCTCCGCTCCTCCACATGCAGCTGCTGGGTGACCTTGAGCCAGTCACACTTCTTTGACGTCTCTCAGCCTCACTCACCTCACAGAGTGTTTGTTGTGTGGGAGGAAGGGAAAGGAGAATGTTAGCCGCTTTGAGACTCCTTCAGGTAGTAATAAAGCAGGATATCAAATCCAAACTCCTCTTCTTCTTCTTCTTCTTCTTCTTCTTCTGTACTGTATTGATCTTCATGTCATATTATGTTGATCTTCTTGTCATTTCTGTTTAATTGTGTACCGCCTTGCTGTATTTTTGCTGCTGAAGAGTGTTCTATAAATAATGCTCTGTCCCAGCTTCTGCCAACATAGCAGTTCAAAAGCATACCTGTGCAAGTAGATAAATTGGTACCACTGTGGTGGGAAGGTAAACGGCATTGCTGTGCACTCTGGTTTCCATCACGGTGTTCCGTTGTGCCAGAAGCAGTTTAGTCCTGCTGGTCACGTGACCCAGAAAGCTGTAGGTGGAAAAATGCCGGCTCCCTCGGCCTGAAAAGTGAGATGAGTGCAGCAACCCCATAGTTGCCTTTGACAGGACTTAACCGTCCAGGGGTCCTTTACCTTTTTTAAAAAAACAACCTATAAATATTTAAATAAATAAACATTAACCAAAGTTCTAACTAGATGGCCAGTTGAGTAGCACAGAGGAATGGTGAAGTGGGATGATGATGGAAGTGTCCTGCTGCTCCTTGGAGTGCCGCAGAGGCCATTGCCCCAAAATAGGTCTGTCTCCGGGGTTCTTATACTCTCTTATTACATGACAAGTAGACTGATGTGTTGACTGTAGGTCTTCTGGACTGCATGCCCCTTTTCTGGCTATTTGACTCAAAGGTCATCATCTCATGCCATTATCACTAGGTGTCACTAGGCAAACGGACACAACTGTCTCATTTCTTCTTCCCATGAATATTGTTTTTTAAAGTCCTGTTGAAATGAGCTAGCTATCATCCAAAGGAGCTTGCTTCTCCTCTTGCAGAGGCTGTCCTTTCAGTCCAAATATATCTGTTCCGCCTTTTCAAGCATTGCATTTTGAACTGATTCTATTATAAAGGTCAGTGAATACAGAGATGCCATTTTTGGCTCAGGCAGCCAAATGTCCTAGGAGAACCCTCTTTTAAAGTCCATCATTTACACACCAGTTCCTGCCATCATCTGCCCACATCCACTGTGCCAGCTGAGGCAGTTCCCTTCATCCTTCTGTAAGAAAGAACTTGTCCCTGCTATCAAGAAGCTTCATCCACTTGGCTACAGAGCACAGGGGAAACCATCAATTTATCAACCAGAATAAATACATTTTACTCTGATGTGGTGGGCTCACAAATTACAATCCCTTTGCTGTATTTGAGGTAATGGAATTTGGATTTCCCAGAAGTTTCAGTGGGATATGACCCAAGACATGCAGATTCATTAATGGTGACTATAACCCAATGTAACTTTGGATACAACAAATACATCTGGATTTCACATAGCTTTCAGCTTAAGGCAGCAAAAAAGAAATACATAGTTGACTTCCTCGCAGCCACATTTTTGTGTCTTTCAAAGCCCTATAGAGTGCAATACAATTTGGAGAACGTAAGGTAGTGCTATACCATAACATAAGCAGCAAATCACTTAATATTATTCTTAATAAAGCCCATCTGGTTGTGATCTAATGAGAACCACATTTAAGTCACTTTTTCCGTCTTCAAGAATGTCATACAGTCATAAGCAAGCAACACTTTCAAGATTATTTATGCTGCTCTGTTACAGACGGGAATCCCCAAGCCATTTACTTTTGTTTGGTGTGGTTCTAGTATAGTCCCACCAAAGTCACAATCAGGACTTCAGGGAGTTGAATAAAGAGGGACCTGTGGTCTGACACAGTATAAGCTTCCTATGTAATTGTGTGCCTTGCCAAGATGCAAGGGGTTCTTTTTTGTTTGTTTGTTTCTGGCAGACAATAAAACACCAAGGTGGTTACTTTAACAAGTTTATTTGCTAGCAAAGAATACAAAGTAAAGCATTAAAAAATCAGATTTCTCAGGGCTGGGAAAGCACCTTCAGAGCAACAGCTATTCCTCTCACTCCTTCAGTCTAAGGCAATGTCTTCAGTGTCTTCAATCTTTAATCTTAGCAGCTCTCCAGTCTCACATATTTATATTATTTGGGTGTGGGAGCCATATCCCTGTGTTCAGCCAGGGGTAGTACCAATGGCATCATCTCAGGTACATCAAAGGGTTGGCAAGCTGCCCTCTTCTACGGTTCGTGTGAGAAGCACTAGTCCCTGTCATTCTCATGACTTTGGTTCTGCAAGCACATGAATCAATCCTCAATCTTGGCATTCAGTATCCAGATTGACCTCATGTCCTGATAAGCCACTATATCTGTCCTGTCTCTGTAGTCTAAAAATCAGCTCCCAAGTCTATTTATTCGTATCGTTTAATATTCCAGTGCTCTGTGTTTATAAAACCCAATAAAAAGTTATTATTGCATTAATCTATCCTCACCTGATGCATCTCTAAACGCAATTAAATCCTTACAGGACACAGCCTAGAAGGTTATTAACTAAGCAAGTTCAGGCTTCTATAAAGGCCCTGCATAAACCATCAGAGAATGCCACCATCTCCTTGTAACGTAGCTCCTGCATATCTTCCCTAATGCTATGTTCCTAACCAATCCTAAAGCAATTGCCTAGGCGTTCAAAAGAATCTCATGTACAACGTATTGGAAGTAAATGTAGGGTTTGCAAAGCCTCTGCTTCTGGCTCTGTGTAATGGATGCTAATGGAATGGGGGGGTTTTTAGGAATGCTGGAGACTTGGGGAAATGATCTCTCTCAGCGGGCCAGCGCCTGATACTGAGGAAGTAAGCAAACCCAGCAGCTTCTCAAAGCTTTCCTTCAGGCAGAAAAAGAATCCACGTTTTTAAAATATAAAACCACATGTTACTTATGCAGGTCTCAAGTAGATGTATTTTAGTGTTGAAGCCCACCCCCATCCCTCTTCCAGCAAGACTGGAAGTGAAATTTGAAACATTTCTTACCATTGTTTTGTTCATGTCTCTTACAATGAAATATATTGAGTGGAAAGGAGAAAAAAGTTTTTAAGGTTTGGAGCAATTTAATTGTGGTTTCCTTTTAATACTGGAGCAATTATACATGTCACTAGCTGAAAAGCAGAATTACTTATTATGAAACACTAGCAATAGCTGACACCTTGATCCCAGTGCTATTAACCATTCCTAAAGTGCTCATGGCAAGACCATTTTTCAAAATAAACACTAATTCCGAGGAAAGTATCATTTTCTCCTACTTATTTCCATGTGCTGATGGTCTCATGTTACATCCAACTAATTTAAACCTGCTTACGCCAATTATTTCACACCATGGTCCTCTTTTTTTTTCTCTGGGCATATCAATCATCCAAATTAGTTCAGTTTTGTAATAAGAGTATAATTAAATCTTCCTTTTAAAAGAGCATAAGCAAATTTCACCTGAGCGTAATGACACCCTCATATCCGTTTCTTTCCTCAAGGTCCTCAGAAGTTATTTAATATACCAAACATGCATCAGAGGCCCAGTGTTTACCCTTTGGGAACAGATGGTACATCTCCCTTAACTTGTCCCAACATGTGAATGTAGCTCTCCACCCACCCACTCAGTGTTCCAGCCCGCAAGCACATGCAGGGATAAGACATGTGAATGCCATCTGCATATGTCCAGTTCAACATATGCAGAAAACTACATGGATGATTTTCCAAATTATATCATATAAGCAATTTGTACCTTGGTACTTGGAACTGCTGTGGTCTAAACCACTGAGCCTCTTGGGCTTGCTGATCTGCAGGTTGGCAGATCGAGTCTCCACGACAGGGTGAGCTCCCATTGCTCTGTCCCAGCTCCTGCTAACCTAGCAGTTCAAAAGCAAACCAGTGCAAGTAGATAAATAGTTACCACTGAGGCAGGAAGGTAAATGGCGTTTCTGTGCACTCTGGTTTCCGTCACGGTGTTCCTTTGCACCAGAAGTGGTTTAGTCATGCAGGCCACATGACCGGGAAAGCTGTCTGTGGACAAACACCGGCTCCCTTGGCCTGAAAGCAAGATGAGTGCCACAACCCCATAGTAGCCTTTGACTGGACTTAACCTTCCAGGGGTCCTTTACTTTTTACATGTGGAGCCAGTGCTAATGCACTGGGTGAGCAAGAGTCTACACTGGACCTCAGTGAGGGATATTGCCCAATATTATCCAGTCTGACCCATGGATAATGCAGAACAAATGATGACCTGGTTTGAACCAAATGCTGTGAGATTAGAGTACACTTTGGGGAATAGACATTGCTCATACATTTTCCCTCCTGTAAAAAAATGAGAAAAGTGTCACTTGGCTTTTGATGCTCAAAAGGAAGGTGCACACAGATTAATATGAATGAATGTTTTAGGTGTTCATGTGTTATCCTAAATTTTTGTTTTGCATTGCATTGTATTGTATATTAAGAGTCTTTATTACATTTTCTGCTTCAGTGTGGGAGTGTTGTTTATTTCTCATCTAGGGCCTTTGTGATGTTCCTCAACTACCTTGAAGACAGACGTCTGGATCCCACGCAACAAATGAGTAACGCAACTGGACATTTATTTCCTACAAAATATGATAATCTGGAAATGCCCTTTAAATGCTCCTAAGTATCAGAATGTTTTTGTCTGTTTCAACACTCGCATTCTTTCCAGAATTAACGGGGAGCGAATTATCAAGTGACTAGTTATATTTGGTCCCACAACCTTTGTACGAGGTGACTTAGTGCTGGACAGCTCGGTTTCAACCCACCTTCTGCAGGAAGTGAACAGAGCCATTTGGCACATAAATTAGCTGAGCTGGGAATTTTCTATCCCTTAATGAACTTTTCCATTTAACATTACCAGAAAAATACACCAAGGAATCTTAAGAGCTTCATCATCCTTGGAGCTGCGAAGTATGGTATGTGCATTAGTGAAGGTCACTGATTAATTCTGTCTCCATCTAAATAAAACTGGTTGCAGTAGTCTGATCCAAGGATAGCTGCAACATCAGCTGTTGTGTGCTAATACCATAGAACTTTTTAAATGCTAGGCAGAGCAATCCTAATTCTGATGGCGGGGGGAGCCTGAACAGCTGCCGTGTTCTAGATTTTCACAGTCTACAAGGGCAGGGTGGGAAACATGCAACCAGAAAAGAAACTGATGGCATAAAAATGAGAGGCGCATCACAGTGACCCAGGAAACACCACCAGTGGCAATCAGGGACTCTAGTAACAATGATGTCTACATCATTCTGCTCACATTCAGAGGGAACCAATGATGGGGCCATGCCTACCACACACTTTCGGAATCATCACACACACACACCAAGTACAATGATGTCATAACAACCCTATTTCTTCAGCCTCGGTGTCTGAACCAGCAATAGGGACCCCTACAGACACACTTGGTATCCTATTATGCTCTTCACAACCACTGCATGGATTTTCTCTATATTGCTGCATATAGAGGGAAAGGAGGGGTGATTACTGGTGGCATGGAAGAAACTGCCCACATTTCTGGAAAATGATAGATATGCTATCATTTGCCAGCAGTGCCCTTCCACAGTCTACATGGGACAAACAGGCCAACCCCTACACAAAACTGGTGTCATTCTGACCTCAGAAGTAGCAACAGTCAGAAACAGTCAGGACACTCTGTTTCTGACCTGAATGTAACTCTTTACATGTCAGTGCCTTCTTTTTAGGAGTGGAATGCAAGACAGAAAAGTTGACTGGAAGTCTGGAAGTTAATTTTAAGCTGGACTGAATTGTGCTTAGCAATTACTCATGTTTCTTCAGTCTGCTTATTTCAGAGTTGACCAATGTGTTCTTCTAAAGACCTTGTGGCCAAAAAAAAGGCACATCGTTACAGAATTGAGGCAAAATCTACAACAGCGAGAACAAATTTGATACTGTGGTTAAGTCCCTGAGTCAGCTGCAGAAACATCTGCACTGGTTCTTAGGGTAGCAGCTGCCTCCGATTGTGGTATAGAATGGGATGTGTGGGATGCAATTTAAACCACAAGAGGCATGTAGATGGGAGTGCTGCATCCTTGCCCACCTACTTCTCTCCCTCTTCCCCTTTCTCTCTCATATAGGCATAAGAAACTGCCTTCACCAAGTCATATCACTGAACTATCTAGCTCAATGTTGTCAACAATGGCTGACAGTGCTTCAAGCAGGAGTCTTTCTTGACCCTACCTGAAGATGCATGAGATGACCTGTATTTACTACGCTTTGATTCTTCACCACCACCAACAACAACAACAACAACAACAACACCTAAAGTGCCTCACCTGGGAGAGACATGTTAACATGACAAAAAGGTGTCAATGGCCCAACTAAGAGGAATCTTGGGCCTAGGCAGACAGAGGCTGCCAAGGTGAAGGGATGTAAGAGAGAGGAAACAGGAGAATAGTGTCTTTAGGAAGGTGTGCTGGGAAGAAGAACGGAGAACAGAGGGACAGATCCATACGAGGCAGGCTGAGAGAGATGCCTTGGGCTCCAGTGCCGCACTGCTGTGGGGAACAAGCCCCTTGATATGACCATGCTGTAACTCCCTCCCTCCAAACTCATGTAAATATGTGAATCAACCATATTTCTTAAAGCTATTATGGTCTCTGCCACATCTTGATTCTCAAATGAACATAGACCCTGTCTGAGCACCTGAAACCCCCTGGAATCTTGCTATCACTCAGCAGAAAGTGGGAGTTTTTCCCAACTTTTGTAACCACCTCACCTTCCCTTTATACTTGATTGGGGCAGTGCTGCATTTAAATACACATAAGAACATAAAAAGAGCCCTGGTGGATTAGGACAGAGGCCCATCTAGTCCAGCATCTTGTTCTCACAGTGGCCAACTTGTTGCTTATGGAAAGTCCAAAAGTAGCACCTGAGCACAGCAGCAATCTTTCCACTTGGGATTCCCAGCAATTAGCACCCAGTATGTCTGGGAGCTACCTCTAACTGGCCTCCAACACTTCTTCCCATCCCATGTGTAGTTGTTTCTTAGAGACACATCCATTTATATCGTGAGAATATAGGTCTACAGATAAGACATGGCTTTAGCCAACCTGTTTTTTATTGAATGTTGGGAAACTACTCAGATCTCTGGAAAATGTTTTGCTTAGACACACAGCTAGCGGAATTCTCTGCTCTCGGGTTCCATCTTTTTGCTAGATTTTCCTAACTGCTCCATAAAGAATAGCTCTGGGGCCAAATATATCAATTCAGAATTCTGCTTTGAAAAGGTAATCTTAGACATCTGGGAACTACTATTACGTTTTGTGGGGTTTTTTGTTTTTTGCTTTTTTATTCAATCTTCTGCCAAATGTCTTCCCAGTTAAATGCTGGAAGGAAAAGCTTTTGTGCTAGTTCCCCTTCCACATTTCTTCTAGAGCAGGGATAGGAGGACTTTGTCCTACCAGATCTTCTTGGACTCCAACTGCCAACAGCCCCAACCAGTATGGTCCATGGTTAGGGATGATGGGAGTTGGAGCTCTACAACATCTGGAGGTTCACAAGCTTTCCATCCCTGTTATAGAGTTTTATGTGACAATGCTGTACTTCAGTTCTTCTGGCTATAGGATTTGGTGAGAGCCCTGTTATGTCAGCTAGACATGCTCTTTCCATGACATATGTGCTAGTGGAATACCCCAGATATGCCAGCATAATGGCTAAATTAGGAATGAAGTCATGGGTGGGATGGGGCAGCGAATGGAAGGAGCAGACTTAGGACTGTACCCAACTAAGTTCTGTTCAGATTAGAGCCATTGAAATTAACCTAAATTTGTAGTATCTATTAATTTCAGTGGGTTTACCCTGTGTAGGACTAGCATTGGATACAACTGTATCCTACACACCTCCAGACCATGGCCCAATTCTCCAATATGTTAAGGTATTCTTGAATCCCGATTCTGTCTTCTGCATCATTGGCTACCTCTCCCAGTTTGGGGAGCCCACACAAAGGAAGCACTTCCACAAAAAGCTTTCCTCCAGAACACTCCTAGGGACTTGAGCTTTTGTCTTCTCTGGTCTGAATCCTAACAGGTGCCTATTTGGGGACTCCAACAAACAATAATGCCGGCTGGATACACACCATACAGTTAAAGCACAATTACTGCTAATTATCTCTGTTACTTAAAGCACATGACTTCCACCAAAGAATCCCGTTAACTAGTTTATTAAGTGTGCTGGGAATTCGTTGCTCTGTAAAGGGTGAACTACAGTTCCCAAGATTCTTTGCAGGAAGCCACATGCTTTAAATACACTTTAAATGTATTGTGTGCACACTTAGACTCCACTCCAACAACTGGCAGTGTCTAAACAACCATTCCACCTACACAGAAAGGAGGAAATATTCAATGCAAACCATAACTGCTATTGTGTGTCTTCCATGTCTACCTCACTCACCCACTCCCTTTCTCGTAAAGGATTCTTGTTCATTTTAAAGAGTAAGGTAAAAGTAAAAGCAAAGGAGCCCTGGACAGTTAAGTCTAGTTGAATTCAACTTTGGGGTGCGGCACTCATTTCCACTAGTGCTAAACTGAAGATTGGCCACTTTCCCCCCTGCACATATTACTAAAATGCATCCTTTCTTGTTGTGATTTTTTTCTGCTCATTTTTTTTGGGGGGGGGGATTATTAGCCTCTCCTCCCTTTAGTGTATGTGAGTGAGTGGGCATGCATGTAATTGTGGCCTAGGCATAATTTATTAATTACATAGCTATCTGAGATTGAAAACTTGTGCCATTAAAGTTAATAGAAGCAGCATGTGCTCAACTCAGGCCTTTTATTAAGCTGCCTTGAAAACAGTTTAAAATGTGGTGCTTTGAGCATCCAAGTCCTCTGATGTTACAATGCATAAAGAGGGAATTAGTGGAGGATATATAGCTATCAAGTTGCCAGAGGATTTTGCAATTATTACTGATGCATACAGAGCTTTAAACTGCCGTGCTAATGATCTACTCTATTCCCCACTGTGTCGTTAATTTCCATCCTGATCAAGCGACTTGGTAAGGACCCATGTAAAAATAAAGTGGTAGAAGAGTTTGAACCTTCTCACATAGCACAATTCAATCTAGGGTCAACATTAGGCTGAGATTCCTGGGCCTGATTTGATCATGAGTTCAGCATCGTACAGTATTTAAAGATCACAGTGAGACAAAGATCCTGGTTCCAGTAGCCTTTTGTAATATGGTGTTAATCATGCTATCTGCTTTACAGGGCTGCTGCAGATATTACTGAGGTATTGTTGCCCATATTCATATATTATCTGTGTGTAAGGCATTGATGTGTAGAGCAAAGGGGCAGTCTGCATTTTTCATCCCACCTCAACATCATGCTTTTTCCATTCACAAACCATGAGCTGTGCATGGCTATGTGAGCAGAAAATCAAATACACAAGCTCCTGGTCAGGGGAGTCTTTAGCCTATGTGCTGCCGGGGTGCAAAGATCTGCCCAGCACCCCCAAATTTGTCAAGCGCCGCTGTTGTGCATGACAAGGGCCGCCGCTGGTGCGGCGCATCTTTGGTAAATGAGCACACAAAGTCAAAAGTCCTTTAGTGAAACAGTAGGTATACATTTCGGTGATACCTAGGTATATATGTATTTTGGTTTTCTAGCTTGATCAAAATTATTTATTATTTCATAACAGGTAGACAGTTAAGAGCTTAGGCGGTTTCAGTGGTGGGCACCTGGCGTCCCCCAGAATTCTGCGCCCGGGTGCCCCTCACCCCTTGCACCCCGGGTAAAGACGGCCCTGCTCCTGGTATTAAGCAGATGCTCTGTGTGGACTGGGCCTTGCAAACAATCACACTCAGAGCTTTTTGTTTCAGCTGGAACTTGTGGGTATTCAGTTCCAGCACCTCTCAGGTGGGCGCCATTGCCATTATAAGAGAACAACGGTTCTTGTGAGTTCTGGCACCTCTTCTTCTAGAAAAATAGCACCGCAACCCTGATTTTTCCAGGGTTCTAAAATACACTCAGAGCCTCTATTAGTACAGGAGTCCCCTGCCTCAATTGCCAGAGTGGTTTAACAATAAATCTCCCTTGACAGAGGGATCTTCTAACAACTATCAGCACCCATAACAAACTACAGCTCCCAGAATTCTTCGGATGAAGCCATAACTGTTTAAAGTGCCTTAAATCTACTGTATGTGGCTGCAGAATGCCTGAAGAGTGGAGAAAAACTGGGCTCTGGTTCCACATCATTTTGATTTGGTTTTACCTCAAGATTTTCCCTTCCCAGTCACCTCCACTTTTCCATCTGCAGTAATTAATTACAGAATCCCAACAAGGGTAAATATAACTCTCTTGATATATGGAACAAATCAGCCGTGGGAAGGCATTGGAGATGAAAGAGGGGAAACAGCGTGGTGTATACTAAAATTTGAGATCACATTTTCCACTTCATATTGAACAGGCCCCTGTAGCTCTCCATTTAAGAGCAGTTTGATCTGTAGCCATTAGAGAAGGTGATAATGTTTAACTCCAGGCCAGATGCAATGCATATCAAAACTCTGCAAAAGAAATGGGGGGGGGGGGAGAGTCAAACAAGCAAATTAGGCCATTCTTTGTCCTGGGCAGTTGGCAAGTTGACAATATCGGTTCCCAGAGTATATACGCACGTTTTCTTTTTCCTGCTGACATCATAGATACAGATTACTGAAGCGCTACAACACACTCTAAAACTGGTGACTAGAAATGATTCCAGGCACCATGGGCAACAGTTACTCTCTAAGAACAGCACCCTCGAGTGTCGGCAAAGAATTATTACTCCGCTCCATTCTGAGGTCACAGAACAAAAGAGCACCGACACCATCTCACCAGCCAGTCGTGAATAAGAAAGGAAAGATTGTGTGGGAATGAACCCAAGATTGCTAGCAACACATGAGGGCTGAACTGAAGCTTTCTCTGTACAGCAGCTAGAGAAAGTGTCTAGCTATGTCATTGTGCTTAGTGGAATAATTTTGCAGTTGCTATCCATGCTGCAGAAACCATTTGTCTGGTTAGAATCTTAGGCTGGGAAGGGATATCCAGCTCAACCTGCTGGGGTCTCCAATGTAGGACACAACCACAGCATTGCTGGCAGATGGCTGCCCAGTCTCTGCTTAAATACTTTCAGTGTAGGAGATCACACAGCTTCCCAAGGTAGACTGTTCCATGGTAGAACAGCTCTTCGTCTCAGAAAGTGTCCGCTCAGGGTTAGGCAAAATCTTTCCTTGTAAGAACAACAGATCAACATAGATTCCAATGAAATCTAAGTACTTTCTGCGCCTCCACTTGAAACCTAGATGGTGTCTTGAGCAAAGTTCAAAATAATGGATTGTGCAAAAAGCCCGCAATAAAATGAGGTGTTCGCTCTATGCAACTTCTCATGTTCTTACATTACAGTATCTCTCCACCCTCTAGTGGCTAAAGCATATTGTTGCGAGCCATTCCTATCTCTGAGTGGTTAGAGATTCCAAGAGTTCCAGGAGTTTACCCAAGATTCGTGCTTCCTTTTGGAAATGAGGCACAGCGGAGGCTGTGGTGTCTTTATGATATGTGGTTTATTTACACATA